AGGAATACAATTTATCTATGACTAAGTAAAATACCGACCTGGCTGAATATGTTCAAAAGGCTAAATAAAATTATTTTCTTTAGTTTATTTTCTCAATAATAATATTACCTCACTGCTTTTCAACTCACACACACACACACTTAAAAATTTGAGTTTGTCTTTATTTTCTCAAAAAGGTTTTACTATGATCTAGAAAAATAAAAGCTTATGTTAGAATCACCAAATAATTTAACAATACAAGACACACAAGTGTAACGCCTACTGAAGTTTCATATCTGCAGATCATTCATATGGAAACTACAAAACCTACTAGAAATCTCTCTTACCACATTAAAGACATTAAAACACAAACCGTAGTAGTAAGTTTGGCTGTTTAGCCTCGCTAATTTAAGAGTGGGAGTATGAACATAAAACCTGATGCCAGATTAGAGTTCAGTGACCCTGAAAACCTACTCCTAGACCCCCATAATACAAGGGTGACCCCCCAGATGCATTTTAGCCCCTAATCAGAGGGTGAGGGTTACTTTATATAGAACAGGACACCCCAAGTCAGCCTGCCAAGTTTTTTCCTGCTAACTCCAAAACTGTGGGAGGAGTTTGCTGACAAAGAAAAAATATACAGATAAATTCACACACAGTGTGAATTAATTTAGGAAGTCACAGAATACAAGAAAGAGCCCCTACACCAATGTCAAGTTGTTTCTACATAAGGATAAATGTTTATTAGCAAAAGGTTCTGTTTTAAAGTAACTTTGCTAAGGCACATGAACAAGTTTTTTTCCCCCAACTTTCATCTAGGTCCAACTTATTACTAACTCGTCACTTAACCAGTGACATAAATTAGAACTGAAAGAGCAGCTATACAGGAAGTCTTGTTCTTAAAAGGAATGGGCAGTGTCTCCTAGATTTTTCCTAGAAAAAAATATGGAACCAAAGTTATACAAAATTTCAAAAATACTTGCCAAACACAACATCCTGTAGAGAGTTTACATCTAAGAATTAAGATATCAGTTCCTAATGGATGGGGATAGTTTTCATATATATGTAACAGCAAGAAGAAATAACAACCACAAAAACTAGAATACAGTGCACAGGAAGACAAAAGTTACTATAATGCAACATAGGAATTCCCTGTCAAAAAATACAAACCTAAAACAATTATTTCTGCAAATTTTAGAAACAAAATTAGAAGTAATTACAAGCAATTAATACTATCTCATAAAAATGTCTGACCTTAACAGATACTTCTTCTATAAATGATCAAATACAAAAATTCGAAGTCTGAAAAGCAAACAAAAAAATAACAATGGAATATTTATATTTGTAAAATTTATCAATAAAAAAAGATTATATGTTTGAACAAAAAGCACCAAGTCTGTGAGGCAAATGCGTATGTACATATCAAAACTATGAATTGTTGCAATAAAAATCTTGATATAACAGAAACACTTCTCACTGTGAGAACTATAAATTAAGTGATGCAGGATAGAAATTGTATTTTCTTTATGTGTTGCAAAAAATTTTCAATATTAGACGATGTTTTATACATGTATGTTTCAAAACAGTGGATACAGATTTGGAATTTAATGATATGCTTACCACACATTTGGGCTACACCAAGATAAGCATCAATTTTACATATGAACTTACTATCAGTATAAGATGTAAGAGTACTGGTTATACTAATCAATATATTGAATGTTATTATCTTTTATTTTAATTCATTTTTTATTATTATATTATCAAGATTGTTTTGTACTGCTAGCTTAAAATGTATTTAGAATTAACTCATATTTCCTAAGCTAGCAAAACTTTGCAAAATGTTATTGGGATTACAGCCAAAAATATTGCTAACAGTGAGGGTACCCAACTGATGAATATAAGCATTCTAATCTTTATAAAAAGAAATGCAAGAAAAGTATATCTAATTAGCTATATTGATGGCCAGGTTGATTTTTAGTTTCATTCTAAGTATGTAGTTTATTCTGATCAGATATTATCATCATAAGTATCAAGAAATTGTTTATTAATAATAGTTTAGAAAGGGTACATCAAATGAAAACCAAAAACACTACATACATTTCTCTATTACAAACTAGCTACTTTCTAGTGCAAAATGATTCCATACGAGTTAAATATTCTGATGTATGTCATGAAGTACACATTATTGCATGACTCAGGAGATAAAAACTTCTTGCAGAAAAAACTGAAAACCATATACCAAAAAGAAACAATTTAATGGTATTGATGCTCTTCATATTCAAGACTTCCAATGCTTTCAATAACATTAATGTAAATATACAGTGTTATATACAACATGTAGCTTGTTCAGTCAGAAAATTAATCAAGTGAATAAACATGGTATTTAATAATAATGCGTGTAATATACTGAGCCACTAGTTATCTTACAGGCATAAATAAAAATCTAAAGTCACAAACTACTTTATTTTCTCTGTTTTTTATTTACAAATAGAAAATAAAATGCAAAGTACCTGTTGCAAATTTTCCCAAAGAATCACAAGGTCCCATTGAATACACGTAGACTATCCTCAACTGATTCCTGAAAAAAACATTCCAGTAAACCCACTTCCAACAATTCCCTCATACAGAATATGTGCCAGGAACTTGTTGAAATCCCACAGACCAGGACTGCTAATTCTATCCACAGACAGCCTAAGGCAAAGGACTGAACCACAAAGCAATAACTCCACTGATATTTTGTCAGTGCCAAGCAAGGTTCTTTCAAGCCTAGATGTCTATTTACGTCAAGACTCTGTAGAAATGGGTAAGCAGTATATACATTTCAAAACTAAATGTTAAGGTCCTGGAAATAGTGGATAGAATAAATAGTTTGCACTTTGCCATGTGCTAAAAAATAAACTATTTTTGAAGCATACAATAATAGAATAAACAATGTGATTCTGGTTAATTGGAAGAAATTTACAACAGGTAAGGGGTTAATAAAGAAAACCTATGATGGACTGGCTAGCAAATCACCTTGAAGTCAAGAATGTAGAAGTTTTCTTCTTCATGTAGGTCATAGTTGTGTGCAACATTAGAATGGACAAGTCTCTGGATATGAGAACTACAGCTAACATAGTTTTCAGATCTGCAAGCTGTACCAAATAGTGCCACACATACTAGGTAGGTTGGCAATTTATCAAGAGAAGAGAACACTTCACCACACTCTGTTACTAGAAGGTGAAAACAACATGAGGCACCTAGTTACTGGTTACAAGAAGGGTTTATCACTGAAGGTCATGTGCCAAAGAGGCTTCTTGATGGAGGGAAGGTATCTTTACACCTTACTGGCTATTGTGTGCCCACCTCATTAATGGCAACCACATTATAATAGGCTAATGGCCCTCCATCACTTGTCTAACTTGTTAAAGTGGTCAGGGCTAGTAACAGCGATGGTTAATGTAATGCCTAAAAACAATATGTAATGTCATGGTGATCATAAAAAGTAAATATTGCCTTGAGAAGCTCTCCAAGTTTTATGACATCATATTCTTGAAAGGAGTTCATTCTCACTGGTTGTAACTTTATACCACATGCTGATCCAGAGGCTTGGATGGTCATCGCAGTTCAACAAAAGAGCAGCATCTACTATGAACGCTATAAGTTCTCCATGGAAAAATCACCACTGCAAGGTACAAACCATACGCATAACTCACATATATCTGAATCACTAATATGTATAGGAAAGAAAACATAGCACATGCTGAAGATTGGAGGTTTCTACCTGCCTTCTCTTACAACACTCCTTTATATCTAATGATAGGAGACTTTAACCCTTAACTATTGTATAATAAAGAATAAACTTGTTGAGAGAAAGAAATTAATACAAAGATCCAAGAAAAAATGTAAATAACACACCTGAAGAGAACACAAACTAAATGCTACAACACAAGTACTGTTGAATGAAATATGATAGTTTGATAGAATTGAACAGAGAGAGTAACATGCATCAAGAGAGTATGTTGCACTCATATTGGTGGAGGGTTGTCGCATGATGATTTGCATTTGAGAAGCATTGGAACAGTGAATTCCAGATGGGTGGGAGCGTCAAGGCTTGTAGCATGTGCAATAAAAAGTTTTTTTTGCACACAGAGGGCAGCACTGAATAAGGATAGCTATTTATGTGAGCGGAGGTAATGTACCATATCAGAAATGAAACATCAGAGGTCAGCAAAAATTGTTGTGTGTGTGTTCAGGCTAACTTCCGTCAAAGTATAAGCATAAGCAAAAAAATTGCATATTTGAAGCTTCTATAGGTTTTCTGATCAAGAACACATTCAAGCAGATTAGATACGATGATAATAAAAATAGGCTTATAATTATGGATGACTATCTTTAGCTTATACGACCTGCCAAATAGATTTTTTTTTTTTTTGAGATTGTGAAGAATTGGTTTCTCTAATCAGCATTAAAAAAAATCTTCCAAGAAAAGATATTTTAGACCCTATCCTAAGTACAAAAGGAGAAATGGTTAGAAAAGTTGTAGGACAAAAATAATTTAATACCACTGATCATCATATCATTGCTTTTGATTGTTAGGCTGAAATCAGTTAAGTCATGTCCCAACTTAAAAAAAGCCAATTTTAAAAAACACCGACATTCATAGAAATGTTAAGGAACATTGAGGTTAATATCTACTAGTTAAACTTTTAAAATAAAATGTATTTCTTCCATAATATTACAATACAACAAAAACCTAGTTCCTAACTGAATAAGTAAAAAATTATCAATGAACAAAAAATGAAAAAATTCATTATCAAAAAAAAAGATTATGAAGTTTACTGAAAGAAAAAAAAAAGTCAAGAGGACATACAGTAAGTTTAAGATTCCAGTTAAGGCACTGTTACTTTTCTAATAGACTAGTTGGCCTATGAAATAGCTTGTCTCTTAAATATTTTGACAATCTAGCATAATTTAATACTGATTAAAAATATTAATTAATTTTGTAAAAATTTTAATAGTAAGAAAAAAACACTTACGCATTACAGTATGGAAGTTTGTTAAATCCTTTGTATGTTTTCATATTAAGAGTCATTCCACATTCCTGGCACTTAAAACACCCTTTGTGCCAAATCTGTTAACAATTAAAACATACTATGAAATATATAAGGTGTTTGGCCAAAATAGTTTTCACGTCAAATTATATATATAGTGCCTGGATCCAATGAAGGAAAATACAATTTTGACTTTGTTACAAGTATTGAACTCACAATATGATGAAATTACTTAATGTAAAATATGTAAGTGTACATAAAACCAAATTATAATACAATGTTTTTAACTTGTATATTAATTACTGTATTTGAATAAAAAAGTAAATGTTCTCTATATGATAACAAACTGAACACTATAAAATCATACAAGTAAAATAAATATTTATTTGTTATCAATTTATATATATATATATAGTGTGCATATATCTTGTAAATCCTAAAACAGGACAAATATAAAACACTAGTGTAAGGTACAAGTGTCTACATGTCATGTATACTATACTGATGGGTTTTTCTATTTCACATCAACCTTTATAAGTTATCTTAGATGCTTATGGAGATCTATTCTTCTCACAAGTTATACTTGAGTTATAACAAAGTTCTGAAGAAGGCTAAATACAAATTTTATGTTAGGTTTGTATAATATAAATAAGAACTTAATAAAATATGGAAACTTAGCATATTAATTAGAGCTGTGCAAATAATAGTATTAAAGAAGTTTTCACTTAAAAATAGTTTGACTGTTATTGTTACAGACTAAGCCTGATTTATATGTTTGGAACCTTAATAAATTGAATCCATATCAATTATATTTATACTAGGCCTACAATATTACTTATAGTTATGTAATAAGAAAAACACATTCAGTTTCATCTTTATTATCATAAACTGACAGTAACTAAATTATTGCTGTTTTTAACTTTAAGTCTTTAGTAAAATCAATCACTAGCTATTATGCAATAAGTTTTGTGAAAATATCCTTATATTACAATGAATACAAACTTAAAATTAAATACTAAAGTAAAGACAGTAAGCACCACTTAAATTAAAACTACTTGCACTAATAAAAGTAAAATTTATTTTTAATTTTAGTTTTACATTGTTAAATCTTACTAATTTTTCAAATGAAAGATGGTTTTTCACTCTTACCCTTAGCATTGAACTTGAAAGAGTAAAACTACTTCGCCCTAAGATTATTTAAACTTTATTTTAAGTGTTAAATTGTTTTAAATTCAATTACTTACAGTTCACATACCTTATCAAGACATTTTAATTCTTCAAGTGGATAGACGGTTTTCTCGCACCTAGCACACCTTTTCCCACTCATTGTATTAATATTATAGTGTGACAATTTACTGTGGATCGTATTTTGTTTAAGCCTTCCACCAAGGAAAGTAAAAACTCAAAGCAAACAATTTATACTCTAAAATTCTACAAAAGTAAGTAAATAACAGTTAAGTTAAGCGAACGGGGCATAGCCTACTGAAATCGAATTAGCTCACGAGCACCACCCGAATAATCGTGGTTGGTCGTCTAGACTAGACATTTCTGAAGACGCGATTTGAAATTTACGAAATAAAAACAAAAATTTTGTTTGCTGGGAATTTCATTGATAAGATAAAAAATTTAAATTAATTTAAGTTATAAATTTCATTTTCGTATTTTCCAAATATAATTATATAATTATGGCACAATTTTTAAGTAAATACTTTTAAGAATGACGGATCTTCCTTCACCAATTCCATTTGCTAACTTCGTATAGCGCAAGAGAAGAACCGAAGATTTTGGTTTAATAAAAAGGATCGAAAATTGATGAGGTTAAGTTTTATATTTTATTTCATCTATATGTGCTACTAGTAGTACTAGTGTTACACCTATAGTTTACATTATACATGAATATTCAATGATATTTGCAAAGTGTGTATCAAAAGGTTTCACAACAAAAAGGATAACGATACTTAAGATAAACAACATTGTATATTTATAACACAAGGGAACACAGATAAAAGTTTCGGAATTCAACAGATTCCGCCTTCAGTATCTAAAGCAAAATAAAAGAATTGTATCATTCCTAAGTAAGTAACTAAAATATATTGCTTTAATAACAGTAATTTAACTCAAACTGCAACAAGATAAAAATTGAATATGTAACAACAAAATACTGTATAACTGCATGTATTTCAGTGTTTATGAAAGTTGTTTATGTGAAGGGTTTCTTTAATCAATAGTTCCCTTTCCAGATCATTGTTGGTTTTGCAAAGAAATTTGATAGGTTAACTTCATGTCTTGTTTCTTCACGATGTTGGCATAGTATAGACGAAACATAGGAGTTACTCAGCGTTTTTTTGTGTTTTCATGAAAATTCCCATTTGTTCATTGACTCTAACTAGTAGATGGCGTTTGATTTTGCCAATATAGGATGCATTACAGTCTCCATATATGGAGGTTAGTCAACTAGAGAGTTTTGGTCAGAGAAAGGTTAGAAAACACCACGTTAACAGTTGTAGGATTGAATAGTTTAACCGTTGATATGTTAAAGTGAGATTAACAGTTTTCTGACATTTAAGGAGAATAATTTGTCTCGTTAAAGGGTGTTCTATAGCAACTGAAACTGCTTGTATGGACTTTGAGAAAAATCAGACGTTTATTCGGAGTAGGCCTAAATACGAAAAAGCAGACGAGTATCGTAAACTCAGGATATAACTGTGGTAACTCAATGAGGCAGTGTAAGTGAATAATACACTGAAACTGTTGTGATAAGAAGAAGAAAAAAGAGAAAGAAGAAAAGGAATAAGTGAATTATACACTGATAGTGTTTAAGATGAAAAAAATAGTACAGCTTCTCAACTGAATTATAAAGCAATTGAATTGGCCTAAGTGGACTTTTGACAAGATGAATAGAACTGTTACGTATCTGCTTATTTGATAATTTCTGGTAAAAATTCTTTCCGAGTGACTTCAGCGATACAAGCCCCTTCTTGATTAAAACTAATTTATTCTTTCTCGTTACAAACTTTGTAATGCACTTAATTTCCACAATCACTTTCACTTAAACATATGCTACAATTCACAACGATTCTTGCACTTTACTTACAGTCACTACCGCTCGTTTGACTCAATTATCTGTCTCTATATCTGTCTATCTGTAGTCATTCTCAGCTTTATTTGCCGGGCTTATATACTAAAATAGAGGGCGCCTGGAAAAGATTAGAGTTGCCAGGAACAATCATGATCCTTCTAGAAACTCCAGCGTGCATGCTTCCAGCTTTGCGTGACTTCCGCTGTCGTAACATAACTGTATAGTATTTGAGATGCAACTATGATATACATCGTGTAAAGAATTTTGTACATACGTTTAACTTGTTTTGAATATATTATTTGAAAAACAAGTAGTGTGTGATGTTGGTTTAGATTTTTGAATTTATTGCCAACAAGTCACAGACACCTACTGTAGAAGAATCCTTAGCCCAACACCCATATTATTCAACCTAATTGCTAAATACTACTACTATATATAGTACTCGCAAAATTAACCCGGCTTTACTTGGGTTATTAGGTTGATTTATTCTAGATGACTATGTCAGTGTGTGTTTGTATTCAGTATTCTGAACCCGTTTTAGTATAAAAGCATGACTTATACACTTGTATTACTCCTTTATGGTATATGGTCTGTTTATAAAGGTAACCTTCCCTCAGAACAATTAATAAAAAATATACCTCTTTTCAAGTTTGTAGTTTATACATTTCATTTTATACTTTTAGCATATAGCCTCTTAACAACAATATTAGGTTATACTTTTATTGCTAAGACATGATATAAAAGCCATTGCTGGAACACATTGTTACCAAAATACACAGGCTTTTACATATTAAAAGTTGTTATCTGAGGTTTTTCGCTAGATTTCTCCATTAAAAAGATGTACACACACACGTGTGTGTCTGTCTGTCTGTGGTTTATATCTATAAATTGTAATATAAGAATATAAACAGTAAAGTTTTTAATAAGTAATCGTTTGATAAACTCATATTCTAAATGTGTAATGTTTTCTAATAAGTAATTGTTGTTCAATAGATATTATTTTGAGTGTTTACTCTTGGACTGAGACTCATATTCTTTAGTCTAACTGTAAACTCCTCGAGTTAGCGACTTGTGGCTCCACTCGTCACGACAAATCCTCTAATAAATAAATTTGGTGTAAAAGAGTAATTTTATTTGAAACTCCAACAATTAAGCTCACCTGAGCGCTACCTTTTACAGGTTCTTTCCTTTTGAAGTTATGGTGGTAACATACACACACAGGCCCACAGACATGCCTATTTTTTATTATAGATTAAGAAGAATAATCCCATTATTTTTCACATTTACAGTAAACCTTCCTACAACGTGGGTTCGTCCAATACGGGTTCGCTTATATAGATAAAAATAACAGCAACCAATTATCTGCTTTAACATGAAAAATTCGATTATGCGTGGTTCACCCAACATGCAAACATGAGCATTCTAGATCATTATAACTCGCCTCTCAGTGGCACAGCAGTATGTTTGTGGACTTACAATGCTAGAAACTGGGTTTCGATACACGTGTTGGACAGAGCATAGACAGCCTATTGTGTAGCTTTGTGCTTAATTTCAAGCAAATAAAAAAAAAACGTTATAAAGAAAGTTGAAGAGTCTAAACCATACCAGTATGGGTGGTTAATAAACAAGAAAGAATCCCAGATAGAGGAACAGAAACTACCTAGAACAATTAAAAATTCATATGAAAATGAATTGTAGTGATGATGAGTTACTAGAAACTGTAGATCCCTTAATGGAAGATATTGATGTCAATGTCGATGATGAAGTAGTGATGCTAGATGAAACATCTGCTATAGAAAGAAGTACTGATGTACAAAATAGTTAACCAAATAGTGACAGTACAGTGGACAGACAGACTACACCAGAAACCACTAAAGACAATACAGTGGTGGCCCACGAATATAACTTAAGATTATGTGGTCTGGTGGAAGATCAACCTTGGGTAATACCCACGTCTAGAACAAGACGTATAAGGTGTGGCCCTCATGTTGTCACACATACTTCGAGAAGTGACATACATACATGATATTACATACATGTAATAAATGAAGACTTACATGAAATAAAGGGAGACTTAATCAAAGCTTTCAACAGTATGTAAGAATATTTGAAAGCAGGTAACTAGGCTCAGTAAAATACTTCTGTAAAAAGTGTATGTATATAAAGTAACATGTAATATATGGATTGTGTACAATAAATTACGTAGTAGTCATTTTTTCAGATGTACCAAGGTCCTCCTACTGCTTATGTTAGAAATTGTAGCAGGACAAAACGCAAGTATTTTTCCAGCAGAGAACAAGGTAGGATTGTATTTGTTGAGGAAAGGAAGCTTATTTTATCAGGTGACAAATGGATAATTGTAGAAGATGTACCATTTCTGCAGTATATTAGTATATTAACTGGGTTGCAAAATGAGTTAGCTATGTTAGAGAAGTCACTTAATCATGTAACTAATTTAAATTTTAAATTGGACAAAAAGGAATAAATGATTACATCTGCAAATAAGGGAATGACTATTATAAAAGTGTTAAAAGTAATGCAGATGGGGTTAGTAATGAATTATAAGTTATCATGATAAGAGGCGACCAGTTAAATAGGTTAAACAACATTAGTGTTTCTATCTCTGATTGAAATCGACGAAATGTGGTTTGATTAAAGAGAATTTAAGAGAATTAGATAAAAAAAAGGTCGATCATCAGAGACAAATTTCTAAGGATATTATTAATTTGATAGGCGAGCAGACAACTATAACGAATTCTTTAAACTAGATGATTGAGTTATATAATCAGGAAATTAGAAAAGTATCACAAGCATTGGGAAATAGCACTAACAAGTTTATTTCATGCTAGACTATAACAAACTGGAGTTCAAAAAACGAGAGCTAAAATGTTAGTTTTCAATGCAAGGATACAGAACAATTTGCGGCAATTAGCTTTTACAGTAGAATACAGCAGAACGAAGTTAGCTAAGTTAGTACAAGCACTTTATGTAGCAGGAGATAAAAAGTAAGTTCATACTTTCTACCCTTCGTAAATTAGAAAA